AGAACGGCTTGTTCTGGTTTTTCTTTCGCTCAGTGTGTGTCTGTGAAGCGTCTCTGTCTGGAGTGATGGACTCGTACAGGATATGTTTCTGATATCATGATGGATTGAATCTGTTTATTATTTATTAAACCTGATTACATGCAGTCATATTCTTTTGCTCATCTGTTCTTCTGAGTAACAGCCTGATTTCACTGACAGCAGTCTATGTGTTTCTCAGTTCATTTCCTGTGACGTTGTTCAAGATCTGATGGTCTGAGGCCGAGTTTCTGTTTCTGTCATGATCAGTGAGTTTGTGTTCAGCGCTGTCCACCTGAAGGTAAACACATGTACATGAAAAATAGATATTTCATAATAAGGAAATGCATTTATTTTTATAGTAAAATTATAGTACTTATATTTTAATTTCTTCACTTGCAAGAGTTAAACCCTCAAGCTTTTATTTTGGCAGAAAACACTGCGGTTAGATGTGATGATGTTTGTTAATGTGTGTGTTGAAGGTTGATCATGAAACACAGCGCAGATCTGCATCATGCATCTGGTGCTCGAAAGTCTGCGGCTTCATCCTCCTCCTCGTCTTCATCGTGGCGTCTTACGTGCTGTCCAGTGAGAGGAAGACTCTGCTCTTCGCTCCGTATCTGATGGAGGAGGACCTGAGTGAAGACGCCCTCAGAGACGTGGTGCGCAGCATCGCAACTAAAGTGAAGTTCAGAGCCAGACGGGTTCCTGACGTCAGCGAGCTGATGGGCCTCGAGGAACACGTGAGTTCAGATGTCATCGCAATCTTTAAAATACACATTAAAGGAGGAGTTCACCCAAAAATTAATATTAGCTGTAAATGTGCTCATCCTCAGTTCATCCCAGATCAGGATGAGTGTGTTTCTTCATCAGGTTTGTAGAAATGTAGCATTGCATCAGTGTCTCAGCAATGGATGCTCTGCAGTGAATGGGTGCCGTCAGAATGAGAGTCCAAACAGCTGATAAAATATTTCTATTACTTATATTACAATTAGTGTAGTATTTAAGGTTAAAATAGAGAAAAGGGGTTTTTAAATTCCAAAGCAAAGAGGCAAATTAGAGTCATTTTGTGGTTGGAAAAAAAAACTTTTTTATTTGATTTATTTTATTTGTAAAGCCATGGTTTACGCACTAGATACCTGTATGGCTCTTTAATAAATATACATGTATCTGTTCGTCGAGTTTCTCAAAAGAGTATTGCAGGTCTTTCCTGCTCTACAGATTCACAACTACAAATTCAGATTCGGTTAGAATTCTGCATGTTTAATCATCATCATCGTCTCTGTGATGGGAACATGACTGGAAAAGCCAGGAAACAGTTCTTTCGTGTCATCTAAAAGTGTCTTTCCGGACGCTCTGCCAGGAAAGTCCATTAAATCCAGTGACGCCGAGAGCATCTGGAGATCAGCGCTCTTCAGAAAGTGTTTAGATTCCCTCTGATGGTCTGATGTCAGTGTGATTGATGGATTTCAGACGCTGTTGAATGATGAAGGCCAGTATTTGAGCTTCTGATGTCAGAATCTGATGATTGTGAGCTAAACAGTGACAGTTTATAAAGCGGATAGTTCCGGTGCTTGATTCTGATTGGCTGAGCCGCGTTCGAAGCTGTTGTAAATGACTCTACAGCTATTCGCATCGTACCTAACAACGCCCCGTAGCTGTTATAAATTCACTGTAAACCACGGCTTCACAGGGCTTATTGCTTTAGTTTACACAGTCTGCGTCTGTCTGAACTCTTTCCAGCAGTGTCTAACCAAACCTGTGAACCCACAAAAATAAAAGTTGCAGCGATGCCATAGAAGAACCATTTCAAACCGTTCGGCGATCAGTACCTTTATTTTCACGAGTGTATGGCATGTTTATGAGATGTTGAGATCCGAACGAAGCGTCTGTGTTGAGTGAGTCAGAGTAAAGCATGCTGTGATCCGTAACCCTCTCTCTCTCTCTGTGTGTCTGCAGATGTTCTCTGTGGTTCCGCGGCGCTTTCTGCCGGACCTTAAGAACCCCTGCTGGTTCGAGGAGCTGCATGGAGACGTGAGCGCGGATCCATACGGATCAAACCTGTTCGGTCGCTCCTTCAGACAGATACAGCTCATCTTTGAGCAGCTCAGCGGCTTGTTCAGACGGCGATTAACACGGCGTGATGGGAAACTGCAGCGGCTGCGCTGTCTGCCCTACTTCTACATCATCGGCCAGCCCAAGTGTGGCACGACGGACCTGTACGAGCGCCTGAGGCTTCATCCGGACGTCCGGCTCACGCCGCCTAAAGAGCCGCACTGGTGGACCAGGAAGAGGTTCGGTAGGTTTGTGTGCGTGAGTGTTTCTGTGTGTCTCTCAGAGAAGCTGCTTTGATCTCACTCTCACTACCAACTAAACAAACAAACCAGAACTGGATTAAAAACAGTGAAAACAAACAGTTCTTTGGTTTGTGGTTTGTTTGTTCCTGCCAGAAGCGTCTGCAGATCCTCACGGAGTCTGATGGGAACTGAAACACAGATAAACTCGCTCATCAGAGCACAGTGTGATCCTCTGAGAATATGAGCGATTCATCAGGACACTCCTATAATGCACTCATCTGCCATATTTATAATAATGAACAGAGATACCAATAAAACGTCACTGGATTTGATTCATACCAGGTCTAGAAAATATACTACAAAGCTCAAGTTAGCACAGATCAAATCTAACATTCACACACATTTATATATCTCTATATACTGGCACTGTATAAACAAGATGAATTGTGGGTAAAGTATATATGTGACCCTGGAGCACAAAACCAGTCTTAAGTGTCAATTTTTCAAAATTGAGATTTATGCATCATCTGAAGCTGAATAAATAATCTCTCCATTGATGTATGGTTTGTTAGGATAGCACAATATTTGGCTGAGATTCAACTATTTGAAAATCTGGAATCTGAGGGTGCAAAAAAATCTAAATATTGAGAAAATCATCTTTAAAGTTGTTCAAATGAAGTTCTTAGCAATGCATATTACTAATCAAAAATTAAGTTTTGATATATTTACGGTAGGAAATGTACAAAATATCTTCATGGAACATGATCTTTACTTAATATCCTAATGATTTTTGGCATAAAAGAAAAATCTATCATTTTGACCCATACAATGTATTGTTGGCTATTGCTACAAATATACCCCAGCGACTTAAGACTGCTTTTGTGCTGCAGGCTCACATATAATTGTCCAGTGCTCAGCATTCTTTGTCTTGGTGTCTGTTTGAGTGTTTTTGTATTTTGTCCTGTTGATGCTCATAAATATGCTGGATGAACGGCACAGTCACGTGACCGAACCTCTGTGCTGCGTGTGTTTATGTGCAGGAATCGTTCGCTCTGGTGAACGTCCTCACACACGTTTCCCGCTGGACCATTATCTGGACCTGTTTGATCCGGTGGCCCTTCAGATACAGCAAAGCCTTCTGGGAAACTCCAGCAGCAACATCACCAGTACTGTCCTCACGTCTGCGTTGGGTTTACAAAATAATACACTTTACAGTAATTAGATACCCTTCCCTATATATTGATTGACAGGTGAGGCCAGCGCTTCCACTATGTGGGACAACAACGCCTGGCTGTATCTCCATGGCAACAGCACAGGGGCGGAGCCTCCGTCACTCGTCCAGGACTTAATTCACGCGCTGCAGCCAGACGCACGATTCATCGCCATCCTCAGAGACCCTGTGGAGAGGTCAGAGGTCACCGGCGTTCTTATCCCCAACTAAAACCATAGAAAAAATCATTACGTAAAATATAAAAACCGCAATCTTTATTTCAGTTAGTTGCCAAGGCAAGGGTGTCCAAACTGGGTCCTGGAGGGCCAGTGTCCTGAAGAGTTTAGCTCCAACCCCAATTAAACACACCTGAACCA